TGGACGAACTTTAAACTGACCGCATAAATCGTTTTTTTTTTTTTTTTTTTTTTTTGAACTTATCGCGCTGGGATTTACTACAGATATGCCTGAAGTTAGTGGTAGCTTTCGCTAGAATTCTGGAAACGTTAATTCACCTGAGTAAAAAAAAAACTGTTTTTCCAATATTTTGCTTTGAAAATGAGTGTTACTGTGGCGCTTGTTTGGGCCAAATGAAGTGGAGGGTATGTAAGCCAATTGTATTTTCTTTCCATTTCGCAATTTTTTCAACCGTAGTAAAGACGAGAATACTAGTGCACAGTGAATTTCTGAGGATTTCGAGATGAAAGACTTAGCGATAATTTTTCCATAGATAAGACTAGTTTTCATTTTCTTCGTTTTGACTCCGGAAGTTTCATGCATTCATACTTTCACTTAACGAATGCACCAGCTTCGAGCATCTCTGTAGTAAATCCCAGCGCGATAAAGTTAAGAAACACATTTTTGCGGTCAGTTTAAAATCCGTTCAATCCGTTTCGCCCGCTCTGTAGAACAGCAGCACGAGGCTGGGTCTGCAATGCGTCAGTAATTCTCGTTTTGCTATACATATATAAGAGATATTAAAACCTTTCTTTCCTTATTCTTTTCCCCTCAAAATCAGGAAGGTGTAATCAAGCACCTTTATTGTGAAGCCGATCGTGCAGTAAAATCGCACGAGGGATGCGGTTCTCACACCGCTTAATTACCATCGCCGAAAGTTGCGGATTTTCTTTGAATGCTCGGGTAATTTAGCGGTATAGGTGTAACATTGTGTTGCGAAAAGAACTAGCTCGGCTATGCTGGCAAAATGACGTCACACGCTTCAGGCTGCAAGGGACACGTCTCTCTTGTGGTACCGTGGAGCTTTTGACGTGGAAACACCTGTGCGAAGCACTTCCCGCCCGCGGTGTCGAAAGCCGGCGTCAGCGAGGTTTCATAACTAGATAAATGGTGCCATGGATAGAACGGGAAACTTTTATCAGTTATATCCGCCTCCGATGGAGGATTCCGCGAAGTCGTGAAACGACGCACAACGCGTTCTTTCAAAAAAAAAAAAAAATTTTTATTTTTTTTTATAACGGGTGTTAGGTAGCCTATTTAACAGCTTCATCTCCACTTATTTCAAATTTGTAATAATAATAATAATAATAAAGGAAAACCCCCCCCAAAAAAAAGAAATACTAGGGAGTTTTTGTAGATCGTTTTCGCAGTCCCGCAACGGCTCTCCGCAACACGCTACGCTACCCGCAACTCTACAGTCAAGGTCATCGGCGTGTCGGCGCAGTAGCGGCTTTTTCGTTGCGGAGGGCGGAGAGGGAAACGCGGTCTACGAAAACTCCCTAATGACTATGCTGTTTCACTGTAAGTCCGACCGCAGCGTATAGACCTTTGCATGACTTATCACCCGGGCGAAAAATGCTTAGTCACTAGGGAGTTTTCGTAGATCGCGCTGCCCCCCTCCGCTAAGCGTTCCGCAACGAAGAAGTTGCTACTGCGCCTGCGCGCCGATAGCCTTGACTGTGGAGTTCCCTCTATCGTAGCGGGTTGCGAAGGGCCTTGCGGGATGGCGAAAACGATCTACGAAAACTCCCTACTGAGTGGTGGACGCGTGCGCAGCGTCCGATACACCACACCTCATAGCAGAGTGACAGCGCATGCTCAGAAGGCCTTTTACAAGCCAGCAGACAAAGATGGCAGTGCGCAGAAGACGATGTTTCCAAAGGTCTAGTCTTCTACGTTTTGCGCGACATTTGCTATCAGCTGAACCGAAAGGAACGGGCACATTGCCGGCCTTGAAGGTAAGAGCTGTCTATCTCGAGTTTTATCGGAATATTGGCTTTCTGATAAGCTCACTCGCGTGTTTCGTCCCTACATAGTGCAGACTGCGATGTTTTTTTAGCCTGACATACATCCTGAAGAGTATATTGTTATCGTGCACTTTCGATCCTGCGGAAAAAAAAAAAAAGGTGTCTTGCACGACCTGCGAAAGCTACGATCTATTTTAATTGGACACGAATTACTTATCTCCAGCTTTCTTTCTCTCCCCTCCCTCAAAGTAAGAGGCAGAGCGATTACGTTTTTAACGTGTCTAAAAACGGCGATCACCTCGAAACTGGTATACTTTTTTGATGTTGCATTATGGCTGACTTAGACGGTTGTGTCGAGCGCTCGGAAGCAAAGAGCGGGGCCCTTACTGTGCTGTAAGCGCGCGTGTGTATGAAGGCACTCTACTGTGCTGTGGTCAGCGGCTCCCTCCTGTGGAATCGAGGCAAGGTGCAATCGATTCGATGAGCGAGTCTTGCTACGCGAGTCGGCACCAGAGGGCGGGCTGCAACCACCAACCCTGTACTTTCTTGAATTCGGGCTTTTCTCTTCGTGTGGTGGTTTCTTTCGCGACGTGTGTATGTTGAGAACCGACTCGATGATACCTTAACCTTTACCGGGAAAAGAAAAGCCGAATGATTCCCGTGGCCTCGATTATTCGCATTTCGTGAAATACAGTAGCACTCTACAGCCTTTGAACCGTTTACTTCCTCGGCGGATTTTGTTTCCTATATTTTCTTTTTTAAATTGGCGCGTGTTACCAGAAAAACAAAAGAAAATTGTACCAGTTTTTGCGCTTTGTAAACGGAAGTGTTGACTGGACCCTGTTTGCTGTCACTCTCCACGTGCCAGCTCACTCGAAGTTTGTGCATGTCATCGCCTCAAGTGGCAAACCAACGCCCAAGCTGACGAGACACACCGTAGAGCGACAGACGCCTCGGTCATGGCTATATATATATATATATATATATATATATATATATATATATATATATATATATATATATATATATATATATATATATATATATATATATATATATATATATATGTGTATGTATGTATGTATGTATACGTGCATTTTGAGATAAGACACATCTTATATATATTATCAAGACGTACAGCTTTCAAACGCCAAAAAGCATCGCTTCTTCCTCTTGCAACTGAACCCTTTCTTTTTTTTTTGAGGGAGCAACGAGTGTAGGTGGTTATTGCTCGAAGTCCCGCTAGCTTCCGCAGCCATGACGCGCCCGTCACTCGGGGTAGCATGACGGCGCGAGACGCGATCTCCCGCGGGAGGCTGTCGACCCCCGCTGGAAGTCCTTTTTTTGCTCATGCCATCACACGCGACTATCCTCTTTGCTTCGTTTCCGGGTGCAACCCGGCCCGCGTTCTCGCCGGGCAATCCCGGCTCAATTAGGCGCTCTTTCTTTTTGTCCTCTTTTGATCCGCTTCATTAGCTTTGTCACCCCGACGTGCAGGTATGAAGAACTCCATAACAACAATAACAGAGCAAAGGCGTCTATTGTTGCCCGCTCTCGGCGTGGTCTCTCTCCTCAGTTTCGGTTTGTCGGTATAAATACCGTCGTCTGCTATTTCGAGGTGGCTCCTAGCTTCTTTCGGACGTTTGAGAATTGGGCGAGCAGGGGCGCGCGCCCGCCTTATGAAGAAGTCTCTGCCGTTCTTTTTCTCTGGCTAACGACGAGGGCTCGGTTCTCTTTTTTTCCCACTGGGATAAGACCCACGACGCGCGAAAGTTTCGACGCATATTTCCCTTTTCAAGCCCGGGTGGCTTTCTTTTCGGAGTCGGCCTGGGCTCCGCCCAGATGTCCTTTTCGTCGTCGTTGTTGTTGTTTTGACTTTGTTTTTGTTTTGTTGGTCTAACTGAGGGCCTGCGTACGTGACCTGCGTGACTCGTATGCGCCGGGCGTATTTGGGTCGACCTCTGAATTAGTGGAGTGACTAAATATGGCTCAAGTGAGCGCACTATCGTGTTTCCAAATACGCTGTTTTGTTGTCATCTGCTTGCTTGCGTGGGAGATTTGTGTGCGTCTATGGTTGCAGAAGGGGAAGTTGAGTCATTCTTATGCTCCTTTGCATACTTAGTATAAGGAGTATTCACTGGACGCCATATCTGTGGGTGATGTTTAGAGCGCATGCTCAGAACGATCTCACATTACTAGGCTGCTAAGACCGGCAATCTTGACGGTGTTGAATGCACGTTACAAAAGAACTGTGGAAGCTCGCCTTCAGCACACGGTCAGGAGTCGTGGACACAGCTATGGCCGCCGGTGAATACTCCCTATACAACGCTGTCAAAGCTCCTGGCGCGAGAGCGTGGCTTCTTCACCTATGGTTTCGTTTGCGCAAGAACGCGTGCAAATGATCTGCGAGATGAAACCATATATGCTCGCGCCAACAGCTTCGACAGCGTTGAAGATTAAGTGTGAAACACTTCAGCGTCCCATCACCCAATATATAGCTTCGTAGAGCTTAACCTAACCTTACGCTGGTCTCGCAGAAGCCTTAATGGAACTTAGACGTTAGCTTGTCCTGCGCTTAAGTTAGCCTCATCCAACATCGGTCGATATACTACGAATATAACTTAATCTAAGTTTTAACTCAAACCTGTGTAACCTGTTGTGTCGGCGTGTTTGACTTTCGAAATTAGCATTCCATAGCTATCCCTAACCTGTTTATATTTCTAGCATCACTCTTTCCGTTGTGTTGCTGAAAATGTGGACAGAAAGATGTGGAACAAAAAAACATGAGACTGGCGTGAAGCACCGTGCAGACCGAAGCAGTGCATAATCATTTGGCCGACTTGAGTCTTTCAGCTGAGCTGAGACTTTCAGCCAAGAAGGAACTTTTAGCCGATCTGAGTTTCAGCTGAACTGAGTGGGGCTTTTGAACCCCATTGGCACTTTCAGCCGAGTTGGAACTTCCAGCCTATTTGAAACTTTGAGCCGACCTGGAACTTTCTGCCGAATCGAAGTTTGATGCCAAACTGAAGGTTTCAATCAAATCGAGACTGCTGCTGAACTGAGATGCTTACCGTTGCCGGACTAGCATATGTTCGTTCTCTGTCCCTGCATACCTAATCATACCCTGGCATATGGTGTGGTAACAATCTCATCCCTGACATTCTTCACCTTCAGGAAACCGCTGTGGGTGATGGTGGCGGGAGCTTTCGTCATCCGCTACGACGGACGGTGCAGTTTGACCAGGATGCTGATTTGAACGTGCTGGCCTGACCTCGTGGCCAGTTTCCACCATCACTAGGTAAGGATGTACGATTCTTTAGATACGATAGGGGTCGGAGAATTGAAAAGTTTTTGACGGAACAGCAACGGAACTTTTAAAGTGTAAAAAAAAAATTCGCCTTGTCAGTCAAATTGGCAGTTGGTGAGACGGTCATTACTAAAAGCATAGAAAACCGATCAAATAATACACACACATTTGGAGCACATGTATAGTCGTTTGGTTGGTTAATTGCGGTTTAAGAGCGCGAAGGCAGATATAATAGAGAAAAATAGCGCGACTAATACGAGGGCATCTGGGACGAGGTCGAGTGGAACGAGGACGACCGGGACAAGGACAAGCGCTGACACCGTACAAGCGCTGACTAGCAACCGAAATATTATTAGAACAGAAACACGAAATTGACGCCGATGTTCCCGCAGGCACTGTCACGATATGATCTTGAAACGCTTCGTTCTTCACCTCACATGTTAAACCAAAGCAAAAAAAAAAAAAAAAAAATTATCGCGCTTGATTATTTTACGTGGAGATGGAGGACCAGCGAAGCTGTTATCTTTACGACAACTATACAACATCTATACGATTTACATATGATTGCAGTGAAGACCCGTACACGACTTCGATGTTTAATTGTCTTTATTTAATTCTTAGTGACCAGAGTGATCATTTCCTTATGGTCATTTATGGGCAAGTTCTAAACCCACTTTTTTCGAGGCAAACCTCGAGGACAGTTATTTCCGATAGAGCCCAAGTCTCTAGACTCTTTATCAGCATCGCGGAAGCGAAAGAAGGTTAGATCGGCGCGTTCTGCCCTCATATTCTTAGCTGAGAAACGTCGGTGACCGTAGATGATGACAAAGGATTAGGACCTCACTATCTAATAATGCCGAAGAAAGCTGACTCGAGCCAGTTGACCCCTCTTTTTATTCCCACTTGCCACGACCAATCGGAGCGAAGGAGCGCCGCTTAACGGGATTTGTTTGTCAACATCCATGGACGCATTTTTTTCCTTCGAAATTCTAACACACAACAGCATCGCTGCAAAAAAAAAAAAAAAAAAAAAATTGTAAGGGTTATTGATGACTGCCTTACGCACGTGGACTATAGTTTATATGGTAGGCTGCGATGGGGGTCCTGTTTCCAAATATGTGCTGCCGCCCCTCGGGACATCTGCGGTTCGAGGTTGCACCAAAACAGGTCCGCCATATCTGTTCTCCTTGCGAGCACACAACGCGTTCGCATCACTTGTCCCACTCATTTGTCCGCGCTATTTGGGCACCTTCTTAGCACTTCTAGGATGTATAGTGACTCATTATCAGGATGAGCAAGTCTGGTTCGCGTTGAAGCCGGACCACCGAGTCGTCGTACTCCAAATCCGTGCGAACCGCTCCGAGAACCGCGGCATACTTTCAAGCAAAACCTTAAGCTGCGGCGGCACGAATCCATGCCGCTCACCTCACAAGAAAAAACACTTACAGCCAGGAGGCAGGCATGTAGCCAAAGGGGGGGGGGGGGGGGGGGGGGGCGCCCCCCCCCCCCCCCCCCCCCACCGAAATCTTCCATTTTGCTGGGGCCTCCTCTCCCCCCTCACCCTCATACAGCATTTTGCCATTGGCGCCCCAAATTTTGTTTTGTGCAAACAAAACAAAATCCTGGCTACGTGCCCGGTAGAAGGTGATATCCGAAACCGTACAGACGGATACTGTTTAATGTCATCCAATAAATAACAAAGCACTGAATGGAAAAAGAGGCTCACGAAGCGTCGACGCTGTGGTTGTTGTTGCTTCGAAGTTTGTTCCTTCGTCGCGATCAAGAGTGTACTTCTTCTCTTCTTTTCGTGAGTATGGTGGCGTGTGTCAAACTGTGTTAACTTTTGAGGAGGCTGATCACGGCTGGATAAAAAACAAATTAACCCACGCAAAAAAAAAAAAAAAAGGATGTTTGTTTTGTTTGCTTTTTACGAAAAGGATTGGGTCAACGAGGCTTGTGCACAGCATACAAGATGAACTCATATGTTTTGGTAGCACGCAACCTGGAGCCCAGGAGCGTCAAACACTGCGCGCATGCGCACTACGTATTTCGGGAAAGAAAAAAAACAACAAAAAAACAAACAAAAAGAAAACAGAGGTTCATTATCTTCCGGGGCAATTGGTCCTTTTGTTTGAACAACACTCGTGTCTGTGAAACGTGGTTCGCAGTGTTTTTCACTATGAGCTCCTACCCACTCGCCCAAATGTCCATTCTAGCAGAGATAAGGCTATAAAAGTGTCGATCGCGTTAACTCTTGCAATAACAAGGGTTAAGAGAAGTATTGTAGTTTAGCTAATGATGCGATAAAAAATATGAACTTGAATTTAGTATAAGGGTATTAGATATGGCGGTGAGTTCAGTGTATAGTTCATGATAATGGTTGCTTTAGTTATCCTCAAGGAAGCTAAAGCAAGATTTCGTGAAACCAACTGGTCATCACCTTGTAAGATGACTCAGCGTAAAGGCTGGTTCGCACACTTGCGACTGCTTGCGACCGTGCGCCTAAAATTGCGGAGAGATAAACAATGCCCTCTCCCTCTCACCCCCTGCGTCGTCTGCTCCGCCGAGTGGGCTGTACCTGACATCCGGCTGTCATTCAAACTCGGTTTAAAATCGCGTCATTTTGAAAATTTCAAGCGCAGATGCGTGGATTTTGATATGGAAGTTATCGTGTAATCCTATTCTCGATAAAAAAGACTAACCGAGTCTAATTGCAATGTTACCTGCGTGCGAAAAAGAAAAAAAGGAACAAATGTGTCAGAGTGGCAAGTCGCTCCGGCGAAAAGTAAATCTGGTTGCTGTAGCTATTTTACTGTACGAAGTTCCTGCTGGTGTAGCCCTTTAGTGACAATGTGTGGAAGTCTGGAATAATAAATAAAAACGTGCTCTCCTGACGCAATAGACGCAGTGGCTGGGTGTGGTACCGCCGGCTGACTCCACTGCTATCCAAGTAACGGAGCAAAGATACGCTAGTTGATCAATTACTGAAATAAAACAACAAAGCGCTAAAGGCTGATTTTGGAGTAGCCATAAATATTTTAAGAACGCCAACTGCTTCATAACGGCAGCCACGAGCGAGAGTTTGATGTTCGGTACAGCCCGCCGGTACAGCCCAAAGATGGAGAACGGCAACCACCCGTCTTGTCTGCTAACGGAGTCGGGCGCGTGCCCTCTCTTTCTCGTTTTACCCCGCCGATCCTGCTGTACTTCCCGGATGTGTGGAGAGGGCGCCGCGGTCGAACGAAATGGCGCCGCCCTGAGAGGGCTAAATGGAATGGCTTATAAACGCCCAGTTTATCATATATAATACGTAAACTTAGATCTCACAAATACAGCAAAACCTTCGTTCCATGTATAAATGCAGTTCTAGGCTCGGCTCATAGATGGCGCCAGCGTACCAGGTGTGCTTTCTCGTCATAGGAGATCACAAGAGCTCGCGGTCCTATAAGCCAGTGCGAGTGCGTATAATAGAAGCAAATATTTAAAAACAACTCTGCTAAGGGGAAAAAAAGAAAGCGAGACGAGTTATTGCGGTCCTGACGGAGATGGACGAGGAAAGTGTTGGGACTCGCCGGCTTTTCAACTTATGCGTATGGTCTCTGCCAGACTTTGTTGACAACCGGAGGTATGCAGGGCGCAAGTTCGTCTGCTTCTTTGGCAGGGGTGGTGGAGACGTCATAAATACGCCGAGCTCTGATTGGTCCGATTGGAAGGAGTGGTGCGCAGATCTCAAGGCGGCCAGCTTTGAGGTCTACCCACTATCCTTCCCATCAGAAAAAAAAAAAAAATTGGGTTGTGTGTGTGTTTATACAGCCTAGAACTTGGTCTGCCTCACAGGGGCGACGAGTCTCCCAGCTGTAGATGAGCAATTTAGCCAGTGCAGTACAACCGCTAGCCTGGGGTCTTTAACGTGCATCACGCAGTAGTGATGCACGACCGCACGCCGGTACGATGCTCATCCAGATCGAAACGGGCAGGGGTGCGGCTCGAACCCAGGATCCCTGGGTTCTGCAGCGCGAGCTTTCGCTCCACGTGCTCCGAGCTGGTGTGCGCTAGACCACTCGGCCACCGATTTTTTTTTTTTTTCTTTATTGCATGGAAGCACAGACGGGTGGGCACATGGGTCATAGTTGCAGTTTTGAAACGAGAATGCACTGAGATTATACAAGCTTATTCAGATACATTTTCACCAACACTTTTACAATTCAGACAAATTTGCATAGCTTTTCGGGTGCGCAGGACTGAATCGGCTGTATCAGAAATCAGGAAACGAAAGGCACTTTTCAAGTCGCCAGTACCATCTTGGCTTTTCCCCGAGTTCATCAAGGACACTTATTACGTGATTGCATGTTTCGATAAAATTTGATTTGGTAGTCCTTGGTGGTTCAGCGTTTCTGTCTATCATGCGAGTCTTCCAGAGACTATGCATACCAAGCAAAATAAAAAAATCTGCGGGAAATGTGTCTGGATCTTCCACAGGAAGAAAACGAATAGAGTATGTGTTAATATACAAGTCCTTTTTGATAGTCCTTTGAAGCACATCCCAGAAAAGGTATGCATCTGTGCAAAAAATAAAGCAATGCTCAATAGTCTCTGGCGTGTTGCATAAACGACAGTTGACCGACCACGGTACAAAAATTCCTTTGTCACGTAGCCATGGTTTTACGGGTAGTGTGTTAGTATGAAGCTTAAAGAAAAATGTTTTTGCAGTCGGGGGAACGCGCATCCTGCGAACTCGTTTTAAAACATCTTGATCTGTACTGTTTGGATAGTGGCTGCGATATAAAGGGTCTGGAAATAGCGAATCTATCAGGTTATGGTAGAGCTCTTTTCTGGAAACGGTGAATAAATAATCCAAAGAAAAACGCACTTTCAAAAACTCAAAAGCTTCGACGACTTCTTTGAGAAAGCCAAAAGGTCGCGGCATTGCCACATGATCGGATGAAACAACGAGGTCAGGGAGGAGATCCATCAAGTGAGTTTGGAGAAAGGTCCTAATGAACGGGTGGGAAGACGTTCTGAGGAACATGAAACGTGAAACAATTTTCCGTACAAATAAGTGGGTTAAGCCTAGTCCTCCCGCTTCGATAGACCGAAACAGATTGTCGCGCCGCATTGGCTCCCATGAAGAGTCCCATATGAAGGTCGCAAATATCCTATGGAAACGCTGAAGGTGTCCTCGGGCACAGTGAATAACCTGAAGCACGTACCACAGTTTTGCGACTAGGAAGATGTTACATGCAGTAGCGCGGCCAAACACCGAAAGATGATTAGGCTTCAGCATGTCCGCTCTGCGCTTAAGATTTTTGACACTTTCTGTCCAGTAGCGTGAGCTATTTCGAACACATTCTAGTGGCGCGCCAAGGTAAGTAGTTGGCACGCCAGACCACGCCATTCCTGCATAATCCGAGGGCGTTGTCCCCCAAGTCCCATACCAAAGTCCACAGCACTTGGAGGTGTTAACCAGCGCTCCAGCTGCCTTACAAAATTGCTGGGTTAATTGTAATGCAGCGTCGATACTTTGCTTATCAACACAGAAAAAAGCTACATCATCGGCATAAGCCAGGACTTTCACTTCACGAGATAACAATTTATAACCTTTTACGTCTGTACTTTTCAGTATACTTAAACACAGAGGCTCCAAATATAATGCAAACTGAAGGGGAGACAAGGGACATCCTTGCTTTACAGATGAATGAAGGTAAATTGGTTTGGAAAGAGCTCCGTTAACTATTAATCGAGTTGTTGCTTCGGAATAACATATTTTTATACCGTTAAGGAGGACTTTTCCTACGTTTATGTGTTCTAAAAGAGCAAACAAAAAGAAATGGCTTACGCGATCGAAAGCTTTCGCTAGGTCAATTTGAAGCATGGCTACTTGATCTTGTAAACTGTCGCAGCAATGAAGAACTGATCGCGCTACGTGAATGTTTGTCTGGATTGTGCGGCCTTTAATCCCGCATGTTTGATGAGCTCCAACCACTCTTGAAATGGCACATTGTAAACGTTTAGTAAGAATTTTGGCAAATATTTTGTAATCGACATTGCAGAGCGCTATTGGGCGATACCCTTCAACAGTCCTTAACTTGTCGGAGTCGGAGCTTTTTGGTATTAACACGGTGTGACTTTGATAAAACGATGGAGGTAACCTGCCATACTGAAGTGAAGCTGTGAAAAGTTCAAGGAGGAATGGGCATATCATGTCTATGTGTTGCTTATAAAATTCTGCTGAGAGGCCATCTGGTCCAGGTGCCTTCGAGCTAGGAAGAGACCCCACGGCCTGGCATATCTCTTTGAGAAAAAACGGTCTAGTAAATAGTTCGGAGTCCTCATCACTCAAGCTGGGCAGCAGTGAAACGAGAGGCGCATACTCTTCATTTGATGAAGGGGAGACCTGACCAAATAAGTTTTGATAGTGTTGTGTGAATGTGTTCATAATGTTTTCGGTATTTCTTGAGTAAGCGCCGTTACATAGCAACTCCGGGATTTCTTTAGCTAAGGCGTGCCTGCGCTCGTCATCTAAAGTCTTTTTAGTAGGTTGTTCGGCCGACACAAGGCGTTGACATCTTGATCGCACAGCCGCTCCTCGGTAACGCTGAAGCTCGTGGCGTTGGAGCTCAGATTTGAGAAAGCAAATTTCCTCATGAAAACTACCTGGTTTTTCGCATTCCAGCTCATACAGTTCGTGAAGGCTATGTGTAAGTGCACGCCTGTCAGCTTTCTCATGATATGCCTGAATACACGCACACTCAATTGCGATGTTTTTAGCTTCTTGCTTAAAACTATCCCACTGTGCAAAAATGGAAAGATCGGTATTACTACGAATAGCCATAAAACAGGTAATTAGTCTCTCATTAAAGTCATTGTTTTTAAGGATATTGCTGTTTAACTTCCACAGCGCCCATTTTGGCCTAGATATTTGTTTGCGTTTCTCGCCTAGCCTCACAGTTACAACACAATGGTCAGAGAAGGATACCGGCGTTACCAAATATTCAAACGTGTGTTCCAAAAGACAACTAGACACGTATATTCTATCAAGGCGTGCGTGGCCAGAACTTTGCAGGTGCGTGGAGCGATTGATGGACGTTCGAGAAGCACCGACGTCACTTAGGCAGTGTTGGCGCACAAGATTCTCGAGAGCGATACTGCTGTTGTCGCGTCTCAGACTGATCGTCGAGCGGTCGTGGGCTTCGCATACACAGTTAAAGTCGCCAAATAGGACAATACATTTGTCGGTGTCAAGAAAAGCATCTAAATTTTGGAAAAGTGAAAGTCGACTAGAAGAGTCATTATAGGCATAAACGCAAATCAGCCGCCAGTGAATTCCCTCTAAGTAAATGTCACAACAGATAAAACGACCTTCAGTGTCAACCGTGTACGAGAGCGAGGTGTAGTTCAAGTCTTTGCGGAGAAACAAGAAACAACCAGCCGATAGCCCCACAGCGTGACTCACACAAACTTCATACCTATGTAAAAAAGGCTGGAGCGCACTTGTTGTGGCCTCCTCCGACTCTATCTTTGTCTCCTGAATCGCAACAATGTCCAGCTGCTCACGTTGCAAGAGCCGACAAAGTTGCACCTGCCTCGCACGAGATCTTAGACCTCGGACGTTTAGTGTTGTGAAATTTAGGGGAATATTCTTAGCTTCTATCCGTCCTCATAGAGGCCGCATTTCAGCGTTGAACGACACTCGTCACACTTGAGGTAGCTCCTGGCTTCGCATTCGGCTTGGCACGGGACCCCGATGCCTTCTTTTTGGCGACGTCTCCGTCGCCAACACGGTTGAGTAGTGTTGACGACCCGCTTGAACACGAAGGTGCCTCTGTGTCAACCGGTGCCGGTCGCTTGAGTGGTTGGCTGCTGCTCGAGGAAGGGCCGTCCTCGCTAACTGCGTGCTGAGGTGTAGTCGGAGCCTTGGAGACAGTCGGTACGGGAGTCGCATCAGGTTCCACGTGCGCATTCTGTGTGGTGCTGGTGTTTGGGGATGCTGCAGGTTCCAACACTGGAAATACTTCATTCTTGTCGATGTTTTGTGATGGCTGGGTGTCTGTACTGTCCCCGGGCCGTGCGTCTCCTGAAGGATGGGCCGATTCAACGGGTGGCAATTCCCCGGTGACGTCAGCTACCTCACTGACGTCCATTAGGAGCTCCGCCGCTGTGTCATCTTCGTGTGTTTGACGTTGTCGTAACATGTCCGCATAGGTGGCGCCGTTGACACACTCCTCAGTTTGGTGACCATACCGCCGGCAGTTGGAGCACCTCGGTGTTCTACAGTAGCGTCGAATATGTCCCACTTTGTTGCAGCGCAAGCACAGCGGAGGTCGGCCAGGAATAAGGACGAGGCTCTGGCATCCGTAGACTTGAAGGAGATGTGGTATCTGACTGGCATTGACACCATCCCCTAATACCAGTACTACCTCTCGATTTAGAGTCTCCATGTGCTCAAGCTCGCTGCACCTCCATTTTTCTCTCTTGATCGATCGCACTTTGCCAAACGGGGCGAGAGCTTCGATAACTCGTCGATCCTCTAGATGCTGTGGAAGCCAAAGAAGCTTTAGGTTTACTTCTTGCTTGTCCGGGTCAATGATGAGGCACTTTCGGCCTTTCACGCAGAGCTCTCGTTGAGCGACGAGCTTTGCCTTGGTAACAGCGTTGACACACGTCAGCATCCAGACGTGAGACATCTGGAACTGTCCGAGGCTCACAACGTCCTTCAATTCGACGATGCCACGTAGGGCGTCTCGAAAATCAGGAGCTCGATACGGGCGCGCCGAGAGGTCCCCATGCAAGAAAACGGAATTCAGGCTCAGGTTACCTGATGTCAGACGTGGCAGGATTATCCGGTAGTCTTCTGTAACGTTATCAGACGTCATAACGTTTCCTCGGCCAGCGGCCGATAAATTTTCCCCGGAGAACATGGAAAACGTGGCCGTTCGAAACGGCGTCTTCTTCTTTCTCCCTCGGCCACCGATCCCCCCTTCCCATCAGAGCCAACCAGAGATCGGTGTTCTGATGTCGCCGAAACCCCTGCGCGAGAGGCTAAACTACTCGAGCATCGAGGAGAATGCTGGAAATGTAGGTACACGTGCCTCACGCGCTCGGCTACCCCGTATGAAAGATTCGAAGGAAATAACCGTATACCGTTCACGAACGCGCGTGCGAGATTTCATTTACTGCTGCAGACGCCAACACGTGGAGCGCGTGTGTAACAGCACTTACAGCGCGCTCCTTTGTGCTTGGGTCTTAGCCAGATTTCTTTTTGCCACTTCTAAGGACGTAATTATTGCGTTTTTCTTCACGAGTTTGTACGTTGGAGAGGAAAAAGATTTTCTTCTGTTTGCATTCGAGCTGAGATGCATTCTACGATATACAGGGGTGCCATTGAACCAGCTTTATGTCGCAATTCACATTGTTCGTTGCAGAGGCAATTCCTTTGTCGTCCAGTCAAAGCCGCCTCTAATTTGGTTGTTATAAGAAAAAACAAAAAAACACAGGATGTTAATCTGTATACATGTAACTTTATTCCTCGCTTACACAAATATGCTCGTTGTATAATGAGGCTGGAGCATGTGAGAATGGAGTAGTCAAACTAGCACTAATAGCGTTGTTTACTCCTAGAGGCAGTTTTGTGTGGCACCGCCTGTTTGAGCTCATTTGTGTAGGCTTGGCCGGTGGTTTTTATCGCTCGCGTGTCTCCAGCGTGGCTATTAGCTAGTGTTAGGGTAGTAAGCGTGCGTCAAGGTTTTTTTCACGCGTCGTTGCACTGATAATAGTTTCAGGAAATGTATGAGCGCAATTTTCGCGGTAACATAGTGGTGTAAATGTTGTCGGCTACAGGGAAAGAGCAAAGTGGGAGCTCCTCCCACATCTTTCCACTTTGGCAGAGCGAACGCTGGAGACGAAGTCACCTCCTCTCCAGCGCTCGCTGACATGTGTAGTCAGTGACCTCTCTCGGTCACTGACTATACATGTGTCACCGATTATACATGTGTCTAGGAAAAGTGATAATTGTGCAGGATAATTGCGCACGGGTTTTTAACGGCATACTCGAGCACAAAACACAAAAAAAGCCAGAAGCACATAAAAAGGCAGGATGGTCATCCACTTTGTGTAGGTGGATGACCAGCGAAGCTGTTTTGCACACGGCGCAGACGTGACACAGAATTTTGAACAGAAGTACGAACACATTTATTGTGTTCGTACCTTTACTGTCATCGTGACGAAGGGTACGCACACATATTCATCGTTGTCATTATTTCGCGTCAACGAATATCAGCGCCCCGAGGAGCCGGAGGAAACTAGACACGCGCGACGGGACCGCCACCCCGGGTGAGCGGAAGGAAAGGAAACTAGGCGCGCAAGCGGGGGGCTTGGAACGATGGCAAAGGGAGGGCGGTGCGAGCGTAGACATGGCCGACGCGGGTCGCACAGCGGCAAATCTTTGAGAAAACTCCAGAGCCATAAATGTAGAGAGTTTGGCCATTCGTTGGGAAGTATAGGAGACAAATGAGGAGGCGCCATTGGCCGAAAGCGGGCTGGGCGTGTTCCAGGGCGTCTTCAGAAATTCGAATGTGACCAACCAGAAGCCGGAAAGAATACCCTGGCGGTGCTCGCGAGAAACAAACCTGATAACTGCATGGGAGTAACTCTCGATGGCTGAAAATATGGTACACGTGATGTTTCAATCACGTTAATCCAAAATGATGGTGGAAGAGTGCGACTAGCGGAACGATCGACATAATCCGTATACGCCAAGCGCCAAGGGCCGAGAATCTGCCGTCCGAACGGTCACACCCTGTCCGAGCAAAACAGAGTTGCGCGGCGCATTCGTTTCTTACATCTTTCTGCATGATCATGATCAAAACAACACGTGCACCCTATTTTTAACCACAAAGAGTCACTACACTTCACTCTTTCGCGCCTATTAAAACCATATACGAACATAGACTTTTGATCAGAACTGTTTGCCGCTACCACCGCTAGGGGATTCTTTTCGGCTTCTGATTGGCCAAGAGAGCATGCCAAGCCCTCTTTCCGACTCTGCCGCACGTCCTGACTCTGCCCGCGCCTCCCATTGACCAAACTCTCTACATATACAGCTCTGGAAAGCTCTATTTGTATCTACCCGAGAGTCTACTGATCATGAAAATGGTGCCTATTGATTAGTAGTCTACTGAATAGACCTATTTCTAAATTACCCAAGCATCAAGGAGAATGCAGGGAATTGTGTTCCACGCGCCGCACGTGCCGGCGTCTGCAGCAGTAACTCTTTTAAAGCCTGAAACAAATAGCATCTTGCACGCGCGTTCGTCAGCGCCTTATTTTGGCTATTTGCTTCGAATCTTTTAGACGGAGGAGGCGAGCGCGTGCGGCGCGTAGACATTCCCAGCATTTTCCTTGATGCTTGGGTAATTTAAAGGTAGGTCTATGAGAATGATCCCTAGATTGCCTGGTCTGGAATCTTTTATAGAAAAACAATCGTGAGTGTGCAGTCGAGCTGGTGAATATTAACCATGTTCAATTGACCTGAAACTGGGGTAGAGAAGAAACATCAAAACGGAGAAGGGACAGAATATAGACAGACGTCCTGTCTATTTTCAGTCCCTTCTACGTTTTGATGTTTCTTCTCTGCCCCAGTCTCAGGTCAATTCAACATGGAATCTTTTCGTCACGCTATTCACCAACACCCAGGTGTGTGCTTGGCGCGTGCGACTGACTTTCGTACAGCGAGAAATCTTCGCGCGTCGCAAGCAACAAGTTGCGGGCAATCGTTGCCGACTTTGCTGGGTCTTCCAAACCATTTATGACACGCGCCACTCGTGACTGCAATATAATCCTGTATAGAAAATCGCCTTCTCGAGGACACCGCCGACGTCGCGCTCACAACGGCCGTCAAAGCTGCCGCGGTCCTGGGCACCTCCATTTTGAAACTGCACTCGTAAGAAGTTAGCTAAAAAAAATGACGAGCAAAAAAATTGTCCGCGCACGCACGCGTTTTCCGAGAAAAAAACAACAACAACAACAACAAACAATCAAACAAACAGCGTATGTTAAATAGCGCACGCAAACCTCGAAACGCGGTTGGCGTTCGGCGCATGCGCAATGGAGGCGACGCTATTCTTTGCATATACGCTATTCTGAAGCTCCCTAATGCTTCACTGTTCGAGGTCTTGTTGACGCGGGCGGGTCGGCTCCGTTGAGTGCGCTTCCTACCGGACGCGGTCGCACTGCGGGGAAGCAACACTCGCGCAGAGCACCGTCGCCCGAAGCGCGGTTTGTGCTCCCGCGCTATTTGTACGAAGCGTAGCGGACCTTATTATGGTCCGTCCCAACATGATACTTCAAAAAATCGTGAGGCGACACGACTCCGACATAAGTCATACAACAGTCCGCTTCCATCCCTTTTTACTTTTTTTTTTTTTGATGCCGTGGGAAAAGTTTTTTTGGTCGAATTTCGGCCGTGTCTTTATTACGAGGGCCGGGGGCCTTAAGCCTGCTCATTCCATGGGTCCGGACAGCCACTTACGAGCTCTGTTGGCTGTCGGTCAGTCGCTCAAGGCCTCCGCTGGTCTTCAGGTCCTGGAGACGGGAAAGGCTGTGTTCAAAATCTTACCCCAGTAGATCCGAGCTACTCCTGCGGGTCGTGTCACGGGATAACGCAAGTAGAGTGAGGATGGACGCGAACAGGCTTTCGAACGCAAAGGCACACAATGCTTACCCCGGAGTAAGACCGAGTAAATTTGGGAACACGGCCAAGGACTCGAGGGCCCGGCAGAACAGAAGGACAGCCATTGGCAGGTGGCGTGTGACGTCGAGTCTGACGAGAACCGAGGCCACCGAAATGCGGAGGAAGCGAGGAGGAGAACCGTCTGTTCAAACAGACATTGGACTGCCGAACGCTTCGACTTTCACGATTTTTGCCTGAGTCGTCTCGCCTCACGATTTCCGAAGTGTCCCGTTTGGACAGGCCTCCAGACAGCGGGGAAGTTAGTCAGCCTGATTAATGGGCGCCTGTTGTCTCCGCTGTAGATGAGAGATTTAGCCAGTGCAGTAGTGCCGCTGTAACCTAGGGCGTTTAGCGTGCATCGTGTAGTGGTGATACACGACCGCACGCCGCGGTACGATGCTCATTCAGCTCGAAACGGGCATGGGTGGGCATCGAGCTTAGGATCCCTGGGTTTTTGCAGCGCGAGCTTTCGCTCCATGTGTTCCGAGCTGCAGTGCCCGCAAACACACTCGTCCACTGATCACCCCTCTCTCTCTCTCTAATGTACTTCACGTACACAATGCGCCGCATCGCGTAAAAACAAAAACAAACAAACAAGTTCGGGTACGCCCAATTGCGGTAACCGTCGTCTGCTCTCCAGGAAATCCGGCAAAAAGCGTTTGTTCCGTTAAACTTACGCCTAGCGCAATTTTGTTGTCGTTTTTCCTTAGGGCAACCGCGTGCGTTGGAAGAAAGTGCCATTCAGGGTCATCCCGCGCGCGCGTTGGTAATTGTTAACAAGAAGGAAACTTGTCGATGTGACAACTCTACCGCCTGGTTAGAATTTTGTGAACAGTGCCTATTAAATGCGGGTTAAAGTCGCCGGAGCCTGGGGAAAGTAGCGCCGTCACCTTGCCTGACTCGCTCGCCAGACACAAATACCAACATACAGACGACCGTTCCTTTTAATCTGTCTTGGTTGGACATCGTCATTTCGGTCCATTCAAATCTCCGAAGGCTTCGAAAGGGTCGTTCTGAACCAGTTGCTCAAGAATCACTACGGGGCATCATCGTACTCACAGCGTTCCTCACCAGTATAAGCGCCTTTGGCACTGTGCGTGCAATCAACCTATCAATCATGTTTATCTTCGCAGATCTATTACAGTGATGTTGCTCTCTTCGCGTATTTCGAGTCGGGAAGATTATTTTTCCCTGCCTCCAAGCGGCGACACCGCATCTGGTA